TTGTTTACTAATTTCCGGCCGAAATTAACTTTTTAATTTTTTCATTACAAAAATAGAAATTTTTAAGAAATAAGCCCCATTGCGGTAAAATTGACCCAGGAACAATTTTCACTTAATGGGCGGCTCGATTTCATTAGTAAATTTATGAGTAATTCCGGCCTAATTTTTTGATCGTCGCTCTTAGCCAGCATTTTTTGTGCGGAACCGACCTCCTGATCACATTTTATTTTGATGCACCAGTGCAATGTAAAAGGTTGACTCTTTTTATAACGAACCTTTTTATAATGACCCTTTTTATAATGAACCTGCTCTACAATGAACCTTTTCTTTAAAATATTTATATAGTGTTTGGTATAGAAACGTAGTAAATTACTTATATAAAGACTTATAAAAATTTTTACCGTAAGAACTGTTAACAGCACGATTTTTTATCTTTTTCAATTGTTTATTCATATTTTGACAAAAAAAAATAAGATGGCCTTATATGTAAAAATATAAGAAAACATAATTACAATTTACGTAATAAAGAAGTCCTTGGGCTGGAGAAAGCCTTCACAACAACTTATATCGAGAGAATATTAGATATAGTCAACTCTTTCCATAACGAACTGATGATTCTGGAATGGAAGAAAAAGATTGTTATGGAAAATTTCTAGTCTTCAACCGGTTCTTTTCGCTATTAAACTCGTGAGTATGTTTTAAAACTCTACAATCTTTTATGTATTATTTATTTGTGTCAATTCAATTATGAATGCAGATTCGTCTACAAAATCCTTACAGCAGAAGCTTATTATAACGAACTTCTTTATAATGAGCACTGGACGTATGAGCTGTAAAGTTTTAATGAGTTTGAGAAGTGATTTTGTATATTCGATCAAGTTTAAATCTGTTCGCGATTATTATTTCATAATAAGATTGTTTTTAGAATATGCTTAACTATTTGTTACTTAGAAAACAATTAAGAAAGCTTCCACTTAAAATAAAAGTCTTAATATCAAATAATAATAATAATAAAGAATTGGCAAAAGTACGAAAAAGATGGGTAGAAAAAATTCAAAGTTTCGGGAGAGTTATAAGGTCGGAATATCATATGACTGCGTCCTCGGTTGGTGGCAACGCTGGGACTTTTATGATAAAATAAATACCTATAGGAATAATCTGACACATTTTTTACGTATTGCACCAATGCAACAATGTGGCATTCCGGTTGTGACGTTTGGTATTCAAATACTACGCTTTCTTTCTCAAATTCTCAGAAACGCTATTGTCCTGCGTTGAAGCATTTAAATTCATCGTATCAGATAAATAAAGTGGATATTCAAGTGAATTTACGTGTGTGTTTATATTGTCTTGAAAGCTTGAGGAAAATATGCTATTTTGAGGATGGTCTTGACTCAAGGTTTCATCAGGAAGAAGCCGTTTTAAAGTATCGAAAATTAATTTTGTTTCCGGACGACTAGCCGGATTGTTGTCCCAACATTTTTCGTAAAGTTCTATATATTGAGATGGTGTACCATCTATAGGTTCTTCTCTATTTCCATGGGAAATATGAATTGCAAGTAAAATTCCTAATTCAAAGGATGGAAATGGTGGTCTTCCGCTGGAAATTTCCCAAAGAATTATTCCAAAGCTGTAAACGTCAGATTTCTTATCACGTTTATACTTAGGATCGATAAAGCATTTAGGTTCGATATATGCTGGTGTTCCATAAGCCATTGAGTTTGAAGTTATAGACATTTCGTTTATCTGCTTTGATAGTCCAAAATCTGCAATCTTTGGTTGTCCTTGATGAATCAAGATATTTTTTGAATGCTGAATTATTAAAGTGTTAATGAATTAATAAATATAAAATTGGTCAAACTACTGAAAATATATTATACTTACAAGATCTCGATGAATAATATTTTTATCATGTAGGAATAAAAGTCCGATTGCTATTTCCTTGGCAATGCATAGTTTATCCATCCATTTTAATTTTATAAAATTTACTTTTAGGTATTCTTGTAAAGTTCCTTCGTTAGCATATTGTAAAACCATATTATAATATCCGTAGCTGTCTATATATTAGATTTAATAAATATTTTTATTTAATACCTTAAAAATTATAATTCGTTTGCTTACCTTTCGTGATCCCATAGAACGCAATAACGTTTGGATGCCAGGAAACTGTTCGTAATAGTTTAAGCTAATTATATAAAAATTATAATTTATTATCCTGTAATAGATGCAATTAAGCTTCGACATATAAATAATACCTCATTAATAAAATCTTCACTTATTTTTTTAACTATGTTTGTGTCAATTTTAAGACATTTAAGAGCAACCATTGATTTAATGTCTTTAAACTCGTATTTAAAAACCGTTCCAAAACCTCCACTGCCAATCAAAATGGGGCTTGTAAATTTATTATAGTCAAAATAATTAATATGCCCATCGGAAACAGCTTTTTTAAGCCATTCTTCTTGCATAGATAGATTTGATAAATATGGTGTCGCAATCGAGAGTAAATTTGCATCATTATTGGAAGATGAAATTTGATATACTTGTTCAACATCTAATATATCATCTGGCTCACTATCATATGTCACAAATTTATAGTCACCCAGTTCGGATTCATCTTCATCTGATTCATTATAGTTAACTGATTCAGATTCATAAAACTTTGCCATGTGATTTTTCCAGTTAGTGAGAATCTTACAAATTTTTGAAGCTGATGGCCTTTTATTTGGATCACTGTCCCAGCATCGTTTCATGAGGTCCGAATACGATTGTATTGTGTTTTTAATTATTTCTGGTCGCATTCCATTAGAAACATCAAAATAAAATTCAACATAATTATAACCATGATAACATTTTCGAAAGTAATTATTTATAGACTTTCCTGAAGAAATTTCCCACATAATTATCCCAAATGAATAAATATCTGATGCTTTAGTGAATAAACCCCCAACTAGAATTTCGGGTGCTGCATGATATATGCGTGCAATCAATTTAGATTTTGTTGTTAATGCTTTATCGACAGATAAAAGCAATGGGGAGAGTGCTATATATGCGCTAGTTAGATTATTTTGTAATATATTATATAAACCGCAATTAATAATGTTGCAAGAATGAATTAGTTGAAGGTCACGGGCTATATATAATAATAAATTTAATTTTTCATTCCATTCCATCCCTGCAATAGAGTAAAGATTGCGCACTAAAGAATTCTCTAGTACGTCTTGTATAACTAAAAGATAGTGACCCGTAGTTTTATTCCTGGATACTCCATAGCATTGAAGGAATGTAGACCTCTTACGCCCAATAATGCAGTATGCGTTTAGCTTTAAAGTATATGGTTATTAGTATTATAGTAGCACCAATATACTTACAGAAATATCGATGCTATTAAATCTTTACCTCGTTTAAAAGTATTTCATGGCTATCGGCATCGTCTGATCCAGTAAGTAGGTCTAACCTAACTTTCCTTGTTATTACCCCTGATTCATGCGAATATGTCCACTCAGCTGATTGTAAGGTTATGACCAGATCTGTAAAAATAGTTTTTACATTTTCCAGCTCATTAAATGGAATCCATGGTAATGAATTTTTAATCATTATCTCTTCTAAAAAACCGTCCACATTAGGATCAATTTCACTTCCATCATGACATTTATCATCATTTTCTCTCGCCTTTTGTAGCCACATAATAGCTTTTTTTTCATTTGAAGGTATTCCAGTGCCATTCCTATAACATATGCCAAGATTATATTGTCCGCTATGGTTGCCAAAATTTGCAGATTTTAAATACCATTTGAATGCTTTCCTTTCATTTTTATCAACACCTATTCCAATTTCATAGCAACGCCCAATGTTATTTTGCCCACTGGAATTGCCACCTTTTGCTGATTTTAAGTACCACTCAAATGCTTTCTTTTCATCTTTGACAACACCTACGCCTTTTTCAAAACACCATCCAAGATTATTTTGTCCACGCGAACTGTCTTCCAAGGCAGCTTTTAAATACCATTTATATGCCTCATTTTCATCTTTGGCAGTACCTTTTCCATATTGGTAACACCATCCAATGTCGTTCTTTATTTCAGGGTTCACATCATTAGCAGACTTTAAATAGCGTTCGAAATCCTCCTTAATTAGAAATTTTCCTTCTCTATCCGATTCCATTTTAAGACCTATATGACAGTAATGCACATAAGTTAAGATATAAAAAGATTATTGAGTAAAGATTTGAAAATAATTGTGATAGGGTTTACTTATATAATATAATCAATTGTAACGTGTTATTAGTGATTTAATTACTTGAAGTTACACGAGAATAAAGTTGTACGTACGTACAAACTTTATTGATTTCCAAATCAGGATTTTATGTGGATCCTTAAAGCCGGGTTAACCAAAGTTGCGTTTTTGATAAACCTTTTTATTCGGTTAGGGTTAGTTTAGGGTCAACAGCATTTAGAGATATCGAAGGTTATTTCAGTATATATTGCCACATAACAGAAAAGTTAATGAGCTTTAAGATGCCTTAAAATTCTCAGTAGGGGTTTTAACCCCAAATTGATTTAGAAAAATATATATTTTGCAAGACGAAGTGTGAAACCTAATTAACCTGTGGCTCGTAATACTGTACTTAGTTCAGACACTGTCAGACCAGCTAGTGATACGGGTCGATGAAAAAATCATGGGCCGGGGTCGATCCTAAAAAAGCTCTGGCCGGTCGATCGGGCCGAACTATTTTGCTAATATAAATTTTTCTAATAAGCATTAGTCTTGATATCTATATCAAACGTGTAGAAAGCCATCAGGTAGTTCCTTGCCAAATTCTAGTATACTAAAATCATTGGATTTTGTTATTTTTGCATTTAATTATAATGCGTTATAGTTTATGTTAATTAATTGTTTATGCACCCGAACATGTCAGGCATTTATATTTCTTATTAGTTATTTGCCAATTTATCACCTAAATTAGCCAACTAATGAGTGTCTACATTTTTATAAATGATTAATTGATTTTTAGCCAATTTTTTAGCCAATATATATCGATTCTAGCACTTCTTTATCGACCGGCCCGGCCCACAAGGGTGCAGGCTGAGGGCCGACCCAACCATCTGACCGGCCGTTGGGCCGGGGCCAGCCCGTATCACTAAGACCCACCGATGTGATAACATTCGAAATTAAGTTCCAAACGCTCTCCTAATAATACCTGTCGAAGCTTTCTGCGTTGGTATAACGTCATTAGCTGACGTAATCGAGGAAAGTTCTGATGATTGATAAAATCCTATTTCAACCAATTAATAACGTAATACAACTGACTCTTTTCAACAAGCTTATCTACATCGAATTTCTTACCGAATCATCAGTTATGTATAATAAAGCTTGAACGTACAGTACAAAAAATTTAAAGTACTACTTATTTGTTAGTTTTACATTTTTTATCTGTTTTTCTTGTTATTGTCAGATACTTTCGGAAGATAGTACTTGAATCAGTTCAAAATTCCATCAGATTTTTTGTTAGATAACCGTTCGTATCGGATAATGAATATGTGCTGAGAAAAGGGACTAAATCAACTGCTTTTTTAAAAAAAATTTCTTGTGTCTAACTAATCTTAGAAACATTATTTCATTTAAAAAATAAATGTTGTTGTATTAATAGAATTTTTCAATATAGTTTTTTAAATTTTGTATTACACAAACCTTATTTTTTGTTAACCTGGTTCCTTTTCTCAGCACATAACCCATATATTTGATATAGTCAGATATCGATTTAATTACCCAATTCTTCTATTAAGGGTAGAGGATACGTAGATCATTTATCATATGATTTTTGTGGTACAACGTGATTTTTACAAAAAATAAAATAT